GTGCAAGTGTTAACATGTGGTGAGTACGCAACAAAAACATCCTCTTGCTGTTAATTTTTAAAGCCGCCACAGGTCTGGGGTCAAAAGCACAATGAATATAGAGGAAGCATACAAGCTAACGAAAAATGAAATAATTAAAAAAAAAATCAGTCAGTTGTATGTATAAATGCAGTGTCCAGCAGCTAACATTAATTGGCATTGCTCAGCTTAATTCATTGGACCTGCATGGATGTATTCCAGGGTAACAGAACATTTACACGTAAATAATTGCTGAGGTGTCTAGCAATGAAAAATGAAGTGAGTGTACTGAGAGGCAACCATATTATTTGTGAAAAAGCATTATTTATTTCTATTTGTTTCATTATGAGTACAGATGTAGCTAAGGATTCCGTTTGTCTTTCTGCTCTCAAATGCATTGGAATTTTTCTGTCAAGCTATCTAAATTACGCAAATGTGAACTCTGCAAAGACAAAATAATACATATTTTGCATAGGCTTTTGATTAAGTTTCTTAGGGAGCCTGCATCTCTTCAGAAAGCATCATCAGACTCTTTCAGGCTAAAGTACGCAGTTGTATACAGGTACATATTAAAAATGTGTGATAAATTCCAGTCTAAGTTCCTATTTGTTGTTGGGTTTTGTTTATTTTCAGTAATTCCATCAAGCTAGTGAATCTGTGCTCTATATTTATCAGCACGTGGCTGACAGCAGCTGGGTTCATACATTTGGTAAGTACATTTGAAAAGACTTCATTGACTTTTTCTCATGGATCATCTGCTCTCTGAGCTACTTTATTACCTGAAATTACCTTGCTCTGGATAATCCCTGAACACGTCTATAGGGTACAATAAAAAAAGACATCACAGCTTCCCAAATTTCAGGCTCCTACTCAAAACTAATTCTGAATAGTAAGGAATACATCATTAACCTCAGCAATAAAATATGAGACCTCAACCGATGCAACTTCTTGACTGATTACAATTTACCAGTAGGTGGCAATGTTTCCTAAATAACTACCCGAGTGCTTCCTGGAAGGGGTTGGCAGAGCTGAAATGACACTGAGGTCCTGGGAAATCAACGGTTGTGCCAGCAGAAAGCAGTTCTGTATTTCCACGAGAAGTGATGGGATTGCCAACATTCCGGGTGGCAATTTTTTAGAGATTATTTCCTTCTCTTTTGTTTTTAAATTTCAAATTTCTTGGTGTAGCTTTCAGTCACTGATAACGTAGATTTTTGTAATAGATTTTTACTCCGCACTTAACAATTCCTGAAAAATGTAAGATAGTTAGTATAGAAGTACATATGAGTTCATAAATGTGAATATGCGTCTATATGATAGGTATATGTCAATTGTGTATTTTAAATATTTTAAACTAAGAGCTTTTACTGACTTGTTTGGTAAAAATAATTAAATATGGTTAAGTGTTTGTCCTTTAAGTACATTTTATGATGAACTTAGAAACAGGAAAATTTCAAGGTGCTAGTAGGAATAAGTTATTCAGGAATGGTTTTGGACTAATATTGTAATTTAATGATATTGATGTTAGTCCAGAGCAGTATCATTGACTTCACTTGAATTACCTTGAGCTGTATCCAGCTATATAAGATTGAATTCAGAATGTTTATCTTCTTGTTATACCAGATAGTAATTTAGTTTTCACTCTTATAAAGATGGACTGAAATTTTGGATGTTTTTGTTTGTCACATACTTCTCATTCACAGATGACCACATTTTTACACTCCTCTGGCAGATTTTTATCATAGAAACATTAGCCTTTTCTATTTTTGAATGAGGAAAAAAAAAGCTTTTTAAAATTACATCAGGAGGGAAGGAATCCTATTTTGTGGTTTGTTTTGTTGTTGTTGTTGTTTTGGGGTTTTTTTTTGCTTTTCAGTAGAAGTTTCTCCATTCTACTGTAGGCCTGTCCTCAAACTTCAAACTTTTTACTGTGGAACAAATTTTAAAGGGCATGCTCCTTTCCTACTGATAGATTTATAACTTTGACACATACAGTAGCTGGCTTCTTGGAAAAGTAATAGGGTATCACTAAACTTAACATGTCACTAATGCCTTTAATAGCTACATAATGCTTTAAAACAAAAACATTAAGAAGTATAATTGCATTACAAGTAGGGTTCACGCTGAAAAAGTTCTGAACAAATTGCTATAAAATGAACTTACCTAGCTGCATTAATGTTATGTTACTTAGTGGTGAATGGAAAAGATACTTTCCATAAATAGTATGAGTGGCAAGGCTATGCATATTGGCAAAAGAACTGTAATGCTATAATTGGGACAGGGTTGTGTTCTGTATTTGTTCAAAATAAATCATAGGAAAGGATCCAGAGTTTATATTATATGCCAAATTATACATATATACACACACAAGCACACACACACATATATCAGTAGAGTTAATCTGTGGTACAACTCTATTAATTCATTATATGTTTTGTTGTACATTTTAGGTGGAGAACTCAGGGGATCCATGGGAAAATTTCCAAAATAATCAACCGCTAACATATTGGGAATGTGTTTATTTACTGATGGTTACAATGTCCACTGTTGGCTATGGAGATGTTTATGCAAAAACAACCCTTGGTCGCCTTTTCATGGTCTTCTTCATCCTTGGGGGATTGGTAAAAACTCTTTTTTTATTATTATTATTATTATTATTATCCCAGCTACATTAATACTTGATCCTGTATATCTCAATGCTGTAATTAAAGATATAATAATATCTGGTTTAGAGACTTAAAATTAATTATAAAACTTTTAAATATGTTTAATACACCCCACTTTTTTTCTATAGATAAATATTTTGGCAGAGCTTGTTAAATTAGTCCAGTTTAGTAGAGTCAGAATTTTTCTAATCCATTTAAATGAGTAATGCATGTGAATACATGAAGTGCCTTAATATTTCAACTTATAATGTTATTTTTAGTCCTTTACTTTTTAGTGACTGACTGTAGTGCATTTTTTTGAGGCTGCTATAGATACTTAAAGGCACTTTGCGGTTTCAGAGTCCTACCCACCCTTCTGTGTTCCTTCCCAGAATTCCAACAAACACTGTGGCTTTGGACTGCCTTAAAGAGCAGCTTGCCTGATCCAGATGATGGCAAACCACATTCTTTTTAATTTCAAACATCCTTTCATGTCATGTGGCACAATTTTAACTCACAATTTATCACATGGCCATAACCAGTATCCTTTTATATCAGCAAATTCTCGTGTTCTTTGTCCTGTATGTACATAGCACTGAAGTTACTAATTGTCTTCTGTCAACTTTTCTATTACTTATCAATGTTAGTCATTTATAGGACCTGTTGCAATGTTATTCTCTAAACCAGCAAGGTTTATTTTAATGTTTACACTGTGCAAGGTAAGTGCTTTATGGATGACTCACTATATATATAGTGCAGATACATAAATATGTATATTGTTACTTTATTCTCATATATTGATTTCACATATACATACGTCTTTCAGAGGTGATATGTATATAACTAATGTTATGAATGCCATATATGAGACACATACAGATACATATATATGAGTATATGTATGAGCATAAATATATGCATTCCCGTCTATGTTTATTGACATATGAAGACAAAGACCATGTCAACTGGCAGTAGCTCTTCAAGGTATCCGGCCACAAGGAAGATGTTTGTTGGACAAAACATGGCAGAATAATTTTTATTTTCTCCTCAAAACCTTTTTTCTATCACGTGTTATTCCAATCCTTTTATAAACATAAATTTTTGGAAAAATTTTTTTTGGGGGGCAGGGGGGTGACCTTTTTGTTTCTTGACAGAGGGAATAACCCCTGATTCCATCTTGGTTTTGTCTTCTTTTGAAGCCTAATCATGGGGGAAAAAAGTCTGTCTTTTGAAATAGAAATGTAACAGTAATGATAATACTTGTTTTTATTTTTTGCAGTGGAGCTTGGATAGGTTTTTTCCCCTCCCCTCTTCAGAAAGAATTAGACATAACTGTATTTTATGATTAGATACCAGTTGGAATTTATTTTGTTCTTGTTTTGTTTTGTATGCCTATTTTTCCTCTTTTGACCATTTTCTTAATTTATAAGGTGTGCACCTTCTCCAAGACTTTTACATTGAGCTCTCTTATTTTGTTTGATAAGAACTTCTACATTTTTTTAAATTTTCTTTTTAAACAACTTCATAGATCTAATTCTTTTGCATTTTCAGATCTTAAAGATATATATCTTCTGAAAATATTCATCATCCCCCTTTCTTTGGCCTCTCTTTTTAGTCTTTTTCTTCTGTCTCCTATCTTCTTCTTAGGCCATGTTTGCCAGCTACGTCCCTGAAATCATAGAGTTAATAGGAAACCGCAAGAAATATGGTGGTTCCTATAGTGCGGTTAGTGGAAGAAAGTAAGTATCCCAAGAGGCTCTGCTGCCTCTGCTGCAGTAGAACACTCTCTGCATGCCATTTTCTTTTTTTTTTTTTTTGTGTTTTTGTTTCATGCATGTAGGCAATGTTTGCTCGCTACGTGCCAGAAATTGCTGCTCTCATCCTTAATCGGAAGAAATACGGCGGGACTTTTAACTCAACCCGAGGCAGAAAGTAAGTCAAAAAAGACCAGGTGTGGTTGTGTGACTCAAAAGAGCCCCTGAAGGTGGTAATAGCTGACGCACAGCTTAAAGGCTGTATTCCTTGACATCAGATGTTACCACTGGAGAGTTGTCACACTATAATTAGAGACCTGGGCTATGCTATGGTACAAGTCACAACATTTTGTCCCTACTTCAAGAGAACCTGAATACCATTAAGACTACACTGACATATCTTGTGAAAAACGCTGCTATTGCTTATGCAGTTAGCTTCTGGAACAAGGCTGACTTGTCACTTCACGGTTTTGGGTATCAGATTATCATGTGGTCATCTCTTAACTAAGTGACAATGATAATTCACATGATTTTCAAACAACTCAGTTCTTTAGAAAACTGGGATTTACTGGAGTGCAAAATATGAGATTTATGATGATCGGGTTATTTCATTAGACTGACTTTGTCAGAAGTCTGATAGTGCTGTTTCTCATTGTTCAAAGAGCAGATTCAGATCTCTTGCAGCTCCTATTGACTTCATATGAATATTGCAAGCATTCGTGATTTTAGGATCTATGACCAGCGTTTTTAAAGTGATTCTCTTCCACACACGGTATAAAACCTATCCTAAGAAGAGCAAGTAGTAGCCTTAGTATCAATATAGTATGGGAAAAAACCAAACCTGTAAATAATACTATTCTTACCTGGTAGCAAAAGTTAAATTTTATTGGATCACATTAGTTCATTACATTTCTACTGAAAGCCTGCTTGTTTTCTTGACCAAGTTAAAACCAGCTCTTTCTGGCATTCCCAGCATGTAGACCTGCTGGGACATAGCCTTTAATGAACTAGATGTACTTGGCAGTATAGTAGTTTCTCCTCTGTTATCACCTTTAGTGTTGCCATCTTTTGTTTCATTACATATCATTGTGATATTCACTGGTAGAGACATGCTTGCCCTAAAAGACTAGTCATATAGAATCCTTTCCATATAACATAATGAAGGTGCTGCAAGCAACACATCTAATTAATTGTCCCTCTCCTTACTTCAAGAAGATACATTTTTTGCTTTATTCCTTTCAAACCATCACCCGTGCACCATTTTATAAACGTGGATTATGGTTTTATCAAGTTGTTTCTCCTCTCTGTGGAGCATAAAGATTGTAAATGTCCCACAGAGCTAATTCTAGAGTACTGTTTTACATCACTGGGTAGATAAATCAAAGTTTTTTCTTTAGTTATACTATTATTATTGTGCGTTCAATAATACTCAAGCAATAACATGACACAATTGAAAACGTCAATACTTTCATTTTTTGAGATACCCTCAAATGTCTAAAGTTTTTTTTTACTGTAAACACTAATGTTGGGAACTTGCATCATAATTCACTTATCCAGATTAACAAAATGCCTTAATTTATTTCTGAGATGGAGTAGTATCCTTAATTTCCCAAAATGTTTATTTGTGACAGAGGCCTACTCAGTTTCATATTTGTACTTGGTTTCTCAAAGAGAGAAGTTTTTCCAAACACAGACCTTACACCTCTGTTTTTGACGCTCCGAAGGAGTTATAGCAGAGGGGAATATGGTTAAAAAATATTTTACATACAGAGTTTTAGTCTCCCCCTTTCTATGTTGTCACTAGTACCCAGCATTGCTCAGATGTCTCTAAACTTGGACCTGATCTTCAGTCAGAACCCCACATCCTGAAAAGCTCAACTCCAGATTACAGGCTTCTGCTAGCTTTGGGGCGTGCTTAATTTTATTTTTTCACCTTTTCTTTTTGTCTTTATTTATATGCGCTATCTGTTTGGTTTTAGCTCACTCCATTGTCAGTGCTTTCTCTGCTGATCTCTACCGCCCATATAACTTGTCGTTTGAAACTCAGCTCTGTCATCAGCATACAAACTTCAATTTACGTTTTGCATTGTTTTCTGGTTCAATTATTAATTACTAAGTAGTTTAAAGATGTCCTTTGCTCATGTGGGTCTTTCATCAGAGAATCTAAGCTTGGGAACTGCACAGTAAAAAGCCATTAGCACCCCTTGTTTGATGTTGCTTTTGCAGTCAGTAGAACAAGATTGATGAAATGTTATGTTTGGCCAAAATTTAAGTTTTCATTTGGAATTCAGCGTTGAGAGAATGGATTGTCAGAACCAATAAGTTTTCCTTTGCTTGGGATATGGGCATGTGGTAGTAATTAGCAATATAAGGTCTTTAGTTGAGCAACCAAGCATAGATTCTGGCAGCAAACATAATGAGAAACTACAGTTGTTCTATTCCTAACGTCAGAAAGTTTCTAGATAAAATTAAATGCATGTACAAAAGGAAAGCAGCTAAATTTCTTTGAAAGATGTAGTTTCAGCTCTTAAAATAGCAAATGTGTATACTTTTTAATATTCTCCAAAATAGATAAATATATGGAATCTGTTTCGTAGCATTTATATGTATGTTTATACATGTTGCCTCATGAACTATGTCTGTGGAATAACATGCTTCTATATGATTATTAAACATTTGGGTGGGAAGTTAAAATTAACATATCATTATGTATGTTTTGAGGATTGCACTACATCGCTTTACTACTAAGGAGAGCCTTGCTTATAGAGTTGTAACTATCGAAGCAGCTAGAATGTATGCATAAAAATTATTTCTACAAACTCCACTTACTAAAGAAGAGAAACAACCAACACACCAGCAAGTTTGATCTCACATTTCATTTTGCTTTTCAGCCAATAAAGTCCCCAAAGGACTCATGAACTATATAGGAATCATTTTGCACAACAAAGCAGCTTACTTCTCTCTCAGATGAGACACTCACTACAGAGTTTGGAAACAGAAGTAGTTTGCAGGCAGTATGCAATTATCGCTGGTTAAATTTAACTAGTTTTGTTACAAAAGTCCATGGGGAATTTTACATTTTAAATTTAATTTATAATCTCTGCTTTGTAATATATTCCTGTAATGAGACTTCCAAAGCCTCACAGAACACAAAGCAGGAATTTTATTACAGTCTTCGATTCAAGTTTCACCTGTTAAATAAACAACAGTACTCACTGTTGCATATATACCAAAATGCATACCAACGTATCTATACAAAATCTGACCGAGACAAAACATGCACATTTAATGACAAGTAGGGTAATGACTTTGGCACAATTATGACCTAGTGCAAAAAAAATTAAGAAGTTACCAGAAAAGGTAACAATCCTTGTCTTGAATTTCAGATTTGTAAGCAATGAGATCTGCTCTATAGTTTACTGCTAAACAGCTGTTTTATTTATAATATTTACATATTAGCCAACGTTCTGCTGATTTCTGTAGAAGTAGGTAACAACATAACTTATTTTCTCTGTAGAGCAGTTGGCATATTTTTATTATTAATAGACTAGTAACTACCTGACAGAGGTTTTGTGAGATTTAACGGGGTCAGGTTTATGCTTTCTGAAGATGAGAAATGCTTTTAAAAAGCCAAGTAGACAAATTTATAATGAAGGTTAACTCTTATTAATTGCTTCGTCATCAAGCCTTGTGTCGGTCACTCTGAAAAATATCTGTAATATTGTATAGGACATATTTCACTAAAACATTGTGAAACTTACTAGTTCGCTAAGAAATAATTAATGAAAGCATATACTTGAAAGAAGTTATATTCAGGTAATTTCATAAAGTAAATCAGTGACAAACTAGTATCATGATAAACAGATAAAGTAGTTTATAATGACAAAATACTGGAAACAAATACTGGAGATAAAAGCTAGATGTAACGTGTAGTTGGGGGGAGAAGGAAAAAAATGTGGCCTTTTATTATAAAAAGTCTATAGATGACACTTTAGAAAAGAATATATAATTTTATATGTATAAGCAGGGGAAGTTTTATGCTTTTTTGTTTGTTTGACAATTTTTTCATCAGTTACAAACTGAAATGGTATATAGCTTGAGGATTAATGATACTTTCTTTTAGTCATTTTTCTTAATACTTTTGAGACCAGCAGCTGGTTCCGTACACCCTGTCTACCTTTAGCTCTTTTCTTTTTAAGGCTTTCAATTTGATTTACTCTGTCTAGGCTCTTTCTGTAACCTATCTGTAGAACTCATGAGCTCGTATTCAAGGCATCATTTTAAAGTGATATATTTAAAATGAAGTACCATAGAAGGATGAAAAGGTATCTGCCACTCTATCACCATAGCTGATAGACTATTGTTTTTAGAACGTAGCAATAAGCCTACAGGGTTAGTTCATACACGCCTACCTCTGGAAGGCTGGAAGAGGCAGTGATGACTTTGGCTTTGGATGATTTTCTGAAGTGCTCCAACTAACCTCTTAACTATAAAGTTCAGGCCTCAAGTCTTATGAGACAGGGGTTTTCTTCAAGAAATTCTTGGTTTTGGATAAGTAGAATTCTGCTGTTACACTCTTTTTTGTGATATTTGGAACTTACACATTCAGTCCTAGCCAAAATAGGACTTACAAGTTTATCTGTGTTACTTCTTTTAAGCCAAAAAAAAAATCAACGTTTATTATTTATAACGTTCATATTACTCAGGTCTGGTCTGAGATTTGGTTAAAGGTCCAGATTTGTTTTACCTCTACTGATTTGTAATTAACTTTTTATTCTGCATTTACTAATTTACTTGAGAATCAAGATTGTTCGTACTCAGTTGTTTCATTTCTGTATTCATGTGTCAGTATGATCAGACTGGATTTTAATTCTGTGAAATATTTTCCAGTTGAAGACATTAGCTTATTGTAAATCAGCCTGCACAAAGCTCTAGAAAGCATATGGAAAGAACATTTGTAAACTGATGGACTGAAAGAGAGACTG